ACCTCCTATGGGTCACATCCTCCTGTCCTGTCTCCCCGTACCACGCTGGAAGGTGGGATGAAGTCATGGCAAAGCTGCTCCTGGAGACTTCCAGGAACACCTTCAGACAACACAGTGTAAATCTTGGTTATTGTGACTCCAGGACCCTGCTCTGTACGCTGTCAGCTGATGTCCCCTGTGCTCCCAGTGAGGTCCAGCTGAAAGGTCTGTGTTGAGGATCAGCACTCCTCAGTTGTTCACCACAATAAACAGAGGGGTGACTGTGACCCTGCAGGGACGAGCGGGATCACTGCCACACACACTGCCACCTGTGTGCGGGGCCTGTCACCTGCCAGGGGCCTGTGCTGGACTGTCATGCTGCTCAGGCACTGCAGAACAGGGAATCTGTGGCCATGGGTCACACTGGGCACTTCCCATGGGGTGGCTGGTGGCCAGCCAAGGCCGGGTGTCCTGCTGTGGCGAGGAAGATGTCAGCGTATCACTGCCGAAGCTGGGATTTGCACCACACACCAATCCATGGCCAGGGCAGAGGCAGCAGCAGCTCTTCAGCTGTTATCCAGAGCCAGAGGAAAGTCCAGTCCCATTCGTGGCATTCCTGGTCACTGCAGTGCCCTGGGTGCTTGCCCACACTCTTCTGGCTTTGGCACCTTGAGGTCTTTGCCCTTCTCCACTCACCTCGTCCAGGGCCTCTGGTCACTTGTGCTGTCCCATGGCTGGGGGTGGCTGGAGGTGAACCCCACACCAGGGCAGTGTGGGGCTCTGCTGGGGGTGGCTGGAGGTGAACCCCACACCAGGGCAGTGTGGGGCTCTGCTGGGGCTCTGCTCACGGTGCCAAGCCAGGGGCAGCTCCACAGCCCGGTGCCGCCCCGGCCGCTCTGTGCCACCGCCGGCTGCTCCAGCTGCTCCTCCTGCAGGGCTCCAGCTCCCAGCCCCGGCACAGGACCTCTGCTGCCATCTCCAAGCACGGCTCTGTCCCTTCAGGTCTGCTCTCAGCTCATGCAGCACAAAGTATGCCCCAGGGCAAACCCCTGAGCACGGGGATGCTGGCGGGGGACAGGAGGTGTCCACGCTACTCTGGCTTTGAGGACAAACAGAGCCTGTGTTCTCCGTGGCTTCCACCAGTGCTCACGTGGAAAGAAAAGCTGCTTTATGCAGCTGAGGAACTTCTCATCCACCCACCGTGGCTCTGCTCTGGCCCATGCCTCTGCATCCCGACCTGACCCCTGGGCAGGCTCCAGCCCTCGAGGACGCCGTGCTCCACTCTGGACTCTGAAACGCCTTGTACGTCTGCGGGCAGCCACCTCTGCATCACCTGAAAGACATCGGGGATTCTTGTGCAGGAGAGGAAGGAAAACAACAAGAAAAAAATAGGGCCTGGCTCTTTCATTCACGTATTTATTGGGCGGACGGCGTGGCTGTGGTCAGCTGGGCTTCGGGCTTTACAGACGGGGATATTTATAAGGCACGCGGAGCGGCTCGGCGTGTGCGTCCAAGTCATTCCTTCCCCGGCACAGGGTATAATGTTGCCTTTGTTCGGCTGCCTCCGGCACAGCAGAGCGTGCCGTGCCGCTCGGCCGGGCCCCTCGCCGTGCCCCGACAGTCCCGGCGCAGCCCCGCTCCTTCCACCGCGGCCCCGGCAACTGCCACGATAAATCAATAGGAGAGGAGAGGCTGCCAGTTAGACTAAACAAGTGCATTTGCAAGGATTGCTAACCCTCATTAATCACTCTGACAGTCCTAAAAACACATTTCCCCTTTAATGACTGTATTTGGATAATCAGAGCTTTTTCCTCGCGGTGCGGGGTGAGTGACGGTGGCCGCGACTTCGGCGAGCGCCAGCACCGGGGTCACCGGCGAGTCAAGCGCTGCAGGTCCCCGGCAGCTCGGGGCGAGCTGGAGAAGGTGCTGCTGTGCCACGGGGAAAGGAGCCACCAGCACAGCCCCAGCACTGCTGTCCCCGAGTCCGACACCCACCGCTGTCCTCCCAGCCCCAGCTGGATTTGCAAAGGTCTTTTTCTGTCTCTCCGTGTTCCCTTTAGGTGACTTTTGCCTCCTGGAGAGGTTTGAAACCTTGCACATTTTTCTGTATAAATGATGCAACACATTAATGCACAGCACATTATGAAAATGGTAATTCAAACCCATACAACTCTAAATTAAGCCATACATTATCCGACCCACTCAGCCATATATTTTGCAGAAAGACAGGATTGAATCAAATCAAACCGAAACTGTGGAGTGCAGGTTGTTAGACAGAATGATTAATAAAGTGCATCCCAGTGCTCTTATTATAAAATGAATTCTGCAATAACCTGGGCATACATTACACAGGGAATTATTTAATATATTGGCAACGCAACCGCTCCCCAGCAGCTCCAGCCCGAGCGCCGCCGCTATCGGATGATACTCGCAGTGTTTACACGGTCTGGCCCCGCTGCTGCAGTCCTTAGGGAGGGGAAAAATATTCCTCAGGGAGCCTCCTGCACAGCAGGACTCATCCAGGCAGCATCCAGCCCTGCCGTGGGTGAAGGGAAGGCACACGAGCTCGTTTTTGGAGCGGGGACCATCCTGCTGCGGGGGAGAGGGGGGAGGGAGCTTTGCCATAAGGAGGGATGCACCCGGCAGCCCTGGGAGAGGGCTCTGGCAGGACGGGGGCTGTGCAGCTCCTCGCCCCCTGCCCCGGCTGCTCCGTGGTTGGACGTGGCACTGCCCCGGCAGCCCCGACACCCGGAGTGGCTGTGCTGGGTGTGCCGATTCTGGTACTGAGCTACCACGCCTCGAGGTTCTGCGGCATCGTCCTCCCACCCCATGGCACGAGGTGCCCAGCCATGGCCAGGGACGGGCACGGTGGGACAGAATTCCAGCGCAGGAACCTGTGCCAGGCCCCAGTCACAGGCAGCATTTACGATGGGAACTGGCAGTGCCCGAGCGGGGCCGACACCGAGCGGCATCGCGGGTGGGAGTGGGGGCCAAGTCCAGGGAGAAGCGATGCCTCCGAGGGCCAGGGGGTCTGGATACCTCCCGTGGCACCGGAGAGCACGAACCGGAGCCGCTCTGCCCATGGCACTCCGCTCCTCGGCCAGCACCGGCCGCCGGAGGGCTCAGCATCCAGCAGGGATACCGGAGACACCGGAGACACCGGAGACACCGGAGACACCGGAGACACCAGCCTGGGCCTGGCACCCCCTCCCTGCTGTGCCCCAGGACAGCAAACACCTGCAGCAAAGCCCCCCTGTGCCACCCCAGGCCCTCATCCAGCAAACATCCCACCTGCAAGGAGCAATCCCACCACGGCCACAACCGGACTCCAGGCGCGTCCGTGCAGGGCGAGGGGAAGCCACAGACCCCCAAAACCTCTTCCCCCAGCCTTGGGGAGCTCGGAATGGAGCCAAACTGGCCCCAGGACCACCGACCTCTCCCACTGCCACAGGAAAACCCGGCTGGGCCCTCCCCCCGGCCACAAGCCCGCAGCCACGCTCCAGGCACAGGCAGGGAAATAAAAATCCCTTCGGCAAAAGCAGTCCCTGTTCTCAGCACATTATTTTTCAGCTCAAAGGACACAAAGGAATCTAAACACAGGGCATAAAGCAATATCGAGAAGGCAATTAACAGGGATTAATTGCGTGACTCACTGAAATGCAACAGGAGCGAGGCAGAAAGAAATAAGTGATGTGGGGCAATGGGGCACGGAGGGTTTCAAGGGCAGTAGGGGCTGGGCCGGGGGTGCCACCGTTGGAGGAAAAGAGATTTCCTTGGGGCAGGGAGCGGGCAGAGCCCCTCAGCACGGCGGGGATGGAGCCAGACCATCTCAGAGCCACTCATCATTCTCCTCCCGGCACAAAGATTGAACGGAAGCAGTCCGGACCCCAGCAGCTCCCGGACCTCACACCGAGATCCGGGACCCTGCTCCTACCACAATTCCACCCCTAAAACTGCACCCCCGAGACAGGGTGACCACCCGCTCCCCGCAGCGACCCGGGGGCACCGCTCTCATCCCGCTAGAACGCCTTCTCGAACCTTCCCTCCGCCGCCACACGTGGGGACACCGGGGCATGGACACGCGGGGAGGGGAACGGGGCCGGAGCCTGCGGGGCAGCGCCAGGAGCGCACCCGGGGCGCCGGTGCCACGGGGAAACAGAGCCAGAGCCGGTGCCACGGGGAACCAGAGCCGGTGCCACGGGGAACCAGAGCCAGAGCCGGTCCCGGGGGGAGCCAGAGCCGGTCCCGCGGGGAGCCAGAGCCGGTCCCACGGGGAACCAGAGCCGGTGCCGGTGCCGCGGGGAACCAGAGCCGGGGAGAGCCGGAGCCGGTGCCGCCGCCGCCACCGCTAGATGGTGCTGGGACCCCGCGGCCCCCGCCGGACCCCCGGGCAGGGACGAGACGAGACCAGAGCGTGGGTACAACCAAGAGGCGTTTATTAACAAAATCAGACTTACCGGGGCTTGTCCGCCCGCCCGGGGCCGCCGGTCCTGCCGCTGCGCCCGCCGCTCCTCCGGCGCCCCCCCGGGATGGGGGGGGGGACACGCGGGGTCCTGCAGCCCCCGGCGGGGCACGGCCGCGGGGGGAGCACGGCCCGGGGGGACCATCACCCGGCCGCTGTCCGCAGCTCCCCCGGCCCCGGACACAGCGCAAAAAGGGGAAAAAAAATAAAAATAATGAAAAAAAATAAAAATGAAAAAAAAATTTTTTTTGAAAACCCAGAAGGATTAAAAATAAGAAAAAAATACAAAAAAATTTACATCTGCAAGTTACAAATGCAGAGAACAGAATCCCAGAGCGATAAACGCAGAGGGGAGGAAGAAAATGCCTTTTTTTTTTTTTTTTCTGCTTTTCCATGTGTGGCAGGAGTCATGCAAGAATTTCTCAGGGGGGAAATTAAGAAGGGGAAGGAAAAAAAAAATTCAAAAGAAACAGAAGGGGAAAATCAAAGCCCCACACCTGCAAAGTAAAGAGGGATTTTTTTTTTTTTTCTTTTTTTCGGGTTTTTTGTTTTTTTTTTTTTGGACACAGACTTTTGCATACCATTGATTCATTGGTGTATAATGCACTTATATTCCCAGCTTTAAGCTAACATACAGTAATAAATACACAGTCCAAGGAGGGCGCGGGGGGCTGGGGCTGAGCCGGCCGGGGCCGCGGTGGTTACTGATATCCCAAAGCGGAGGCTGACGTGAGTCTTTGGCCGTAGAGCGCGTACGGGGAGTAGTAAGGTCCGGCGGCCGGCAAGGAGGGCACGGGCAGGGCGCCGGCCGTGGGCAAGTGGCTCTTGCCGTAGGGGTGGTACCTGTTTAGTCCCAAAGTGTGTGGGCTCCTCAAGGAGAGCGAGGCCGGTAAGGTGTTGGGGCTCCCGGGGGCGGCGGGCGGGAGGTGCAGGTGGCAGGAGGCCGCGGAGCCCAGCCCGGAGGTAGGGTAACCCGCCAAGAGTTTCTCGGCCCCCGGCAGGGCCGTGTGGGTCCGTAGGTGGGTGAGCAGCTCCTCCGAGGTGGCAAACCTCTTGTCGCAGGGTCCGCTGGCAGACACCCAGTTGCATATGTGGGGCAGGGGGTCGTTCTGCAGCATGAAGCCGTAGGTGTAGAGGGGGTGGCCGGGCAGGCTGGGGGTGCCGCTGGAGGAGAGCGTGGTGTGCACGGAGTGCAGGGGGTGCGTGGGGTACACCAAGGGGTATCCGCTCTTGAGGCTGCCGGGGTCGTGCACGCAGCTGGAGCAGTTGCTGGAGCCCAGGTGCGAGGCGCTGTGGTAGCTCAGGCAATACGGGTCCCGGCATAATCCCTGCATGAAGGAGGGCGGCGAGGCCCCGGTGAGCGGGCTGGAGCTGGGCGGTTTGCCCGGCAGCCCCAGCGCCCCCGGCAGCTGGCTGCCCACCAGCCCCGGCTTGGTGGGGTCCAGCCCGGGCACGAACTGGGACGGGTAGCCGGCGTAGGCGCCGACGATGGAGCCGTGGTAGCCGATGCTGGAGGGCGGCAGGGGGAAGACGGAGTGGCCCGGCTTGTAGGGCGAGACGGGGGCCACATGGCCGGCGGGCGGCAGCGCGGGGGGCTCCGACTTGCGGCCCGAGGGGGGCTCGCCGTGCGCCCCGGCCTCCACCACCCCGCGCCCCAGCGCCCCGCCCGTCCCCTCGGGGCTGGGCTTGCCGCCCTCGGGCTCCTTCTTCTCCTCGGCGCCCTTGGGCTCGGGGTGCTGCGGCGAGGCCCCGCGGGAGCCGCCGGGCGAGGCTGCGGCGTGCGGGGGGAACGGCGGGCACGCGGCGCTGGGCACCCGAAAGCCGGCCTTGTCCGCGCCGCCCTCCTTGCGCGGCTCCCCGCCGCCCTTCGAGTACGGCTTGAAGCTGGACTTGTCCTCGGCGGGCGCGTCCCCGCTGCCCGGCGGCTTCAGCGCGGCGGGGCGGGCGGAGGGCTCCTTCTCGGCGGCGGGCGCGGCGGCGGCCACGGCGTTCAGCTTGGAGGAGGGCGGCGGGTCGGGCTTCCCGATCTGCGAGCAGGTCTGGGCCAGCAGCGCCAGCGGGCTCTTCTTGGCGTCCAGCTGCGGGCGGAGCGGAGCCCGTCAGGGGGGGACCCCGACGGCGCCCCCGCACCGGCCTCCCCCCACCCCCGAAAGCCCGGGGCCGGGCCCGGCAGCGAGCCAGGGCGCGGGGATGGGGGGGACGGGGCGGGGGACGCGCCCGGCGGGGAGAAGAGGGACCGGGTGGGGTGGGGGGAGCGCGGCTGCGGCGGCGGGGGAGGGAAAGAACGGGGGGGGGGGAGCGGGGACGCCGAGGAGGGCAGAGCTCGGCCGGGAGAACCGGGAGCGCCGGCCGGGAATGCCGGGAGCACCGGGCTGGGAAGAGCTCGGCAGGG